GGGCTGCCCCTTCCCACGGGATCATCCTCGCAGGGCACCTTCGGGCGCTGCTACCGGGTGACAGAGGTGACCAGTGGCCGGGTCTACGCACTGAAGGTCGTCCCTCGAGCCGGGCTGGCTGCGGTGGGCACCGGGGACAGGGTGAGTCCGGGGGGGCAAAACCCATGGGGACCCCCCAGAGCCCCCCAGCCCTGCCCGTGCCCCGTCCCGTGGGGTGTGTGCTGGGGGTGCCCCGATCCCGAGGGTTCCCCGGGGGCTGCCGGGCTCCTGTCGGTGCAGGTGGAGCGGGAGCAGGAGCTGCACCGTCAGCTGAGCCACCGGCACATCGTCCGCCTGCACCGGCACTTCACCCACCGCGGCCACCTCTGCCTGCTGCTGGAGCTCTGCGGCCGCGGGGTGAGCACCTGACCCTGAAACTGGGCACCTGAACCCAAAACTGGGCACCTGAACCCCCAAACTGGGCACCTGACCCTGAAACTGGGCACCTGAACCCCCAAACTGGGCACCCGAACCCAAAACTGGGCACCTGAAACCCAAAACTGGGCACCTGAAACCCAAAACAGAGCACCTGCACTCCAAACCAAGCCCCTGCACCCCAAACCAAGCCCCTGCACTCCAAAACCAAGCAATGCACCCACCCCCCAGGCCGGGGCTTCAGCAGGGCCCAGGGTGGCCCCTCGCTCTGTCCCCAGTCCCTCCTCGCTGTCCCCAGTCCCTCCTCGCTCCATCCCAGTCCCTTTTCCTCCAGTCCCAGTGCCTCCCCTCTCTGTCCCCAGTCCCTGGCCGACATCCTGCGTGCCCGGGGCCGGCTGGGGGAGCCGGAGGTGCGGTTTTACCTGCGCCAGGTGATCTCGGGGCTGCGCTATCTGCACGGACACGGCCTCGTGCACCGGGACCTCAAGCTGAGTGCGTGGGGCACGGGGGGGTGCGTGTGTGACCCAGGGAGGGTTTGGGGTGCCCCACACCTGCCCCACCCCGCTCATCCCCCTCCACAGGCAACTTCTTGGTGACAGAGGAGATGCAGGTGAAGATCGGGGACCTGGGGCTGGCGCGGGGGGCGGCTCCGCCCGGGCGGCGCTGGGGGTGAGCAGGGCTGGGGGGACTCACCCTGCCCGTGTCCCCAGGGTGCTCCTGGACAGGGGGTCATCCCGTCTGTGTCCCCCCAGGGCGCTCTGTGGGACCCCCAGTTACCTGGCCCCGGAGGTGCTGGACCGCAGGGGACACGGGGTGCCCTCGGACATCTGGGCCCTGGGATGTGCCCTGTAAGGGGGGGCTGCAGGGGGGACGAGGGGGCTGCAGGGAGGACAAGGGGGCTGGAGGGAGGCTGGAGGGAGGATGGAGGGAGCTGGAGGAAGGATGAAGAGGGAGGACAAGGGAGCTGTAAGGAGGACAAGGGGAGATGGATGTAGGATGGGAGAAAGCTGGAGGGAGGACAGGGGAGGCTGGAGGGAGGACAAGGGGAGTTGGATGTAGGATGGGAGAAAGCTGGAGGGAGGACAGGGGATGCTCCTGGCCCCACCTGGAGCAGCTGGACCCCCCCTCCCAGGTACACGGCCCTGACCGGCCGCCCCCCGTTCGAGGGGTCCCAGCGGCTGGAGCTG